AGGAACAAAGGGGCCGAACTGCTTCAGAGAGGAATATCACCTTCTATGATGTAGTAAACAGGGCGTTATCATAAATTTGTCGAAATGCTACGAATACAGAGGACAGCACCGCCCCAGACGTTCCGCTTAAGCAACCGTTCAAGGTGATGATGACAGAAACGCGCATGCACACAAAGAAGAAGAGGATGCAATACAATGCACTCTCACAAGTACGCTGCAAGATAGACAGGTATACTGCAATTGAATATGAATTTTAATTTTTAGTATCTTCTTAATTTGATAAGCATTTTTCGAACGTCATAACCATTCAGCACAAAGGGCACAACAATCGTATAAGGACCTTTACCACCTCAGTGGCGTAAATAACACAGACGTCAAGATGTCATCTCAGTTCGAAGACGGAACATCTTAGTATAGTTATCTGAAGATCGGTCCTTTACAAAAACATTTGGACTCAGGTCATGCCTCCAACATACTGAAAAAGAAAATTATCCCTGATACTTACACTCTAAATGGCTGCATCTCTTTGTGTTTTAATTTGGCAGCTGAAACAAGTCGATATTATTTTAACGCACAACCATGCATGTGACCCACAAGCTGCAGCGAAGCTGATGAGCTTCAACGAATGATGCACGACAACGATTATAACTATGGATGGTAAACAGCTCGATGCATGCTGACTGAAAATCTCTTTTACAGCAATGCCCTATAATTCATTAATACGCGCTGACTGAAGTGTGACGACAAGTAAGTGGCTCCCAAAGAAATATGGGGAGTTACTTCAAATGTCTAACTAGGATTCATTCAGTTTTTGTTTGCTACATTTATTCTTCCATTCCTTCATGTCATCCTCAATTCAGGAAATAGTCGGCAAGGTAGAAAATCACCGGATATTATTTTTGAACACATATACTCGATGCCCCTTTGGCTCCTTCAATTGAATTGGCTTTCTGAGACGAATCGCTGGGTTCATGCTTCTTGATAGGGTCAAGAGTTCAAATATTCGAGAAAACCTCAGATAGAAGTTGCGGTCACAGATTAAGAGGGCGCGGCAGCTATGGTTTCGGCATGTTTTACAAACGCTACAAAAAGCAACACGAAACGACTTTTACTAGCTTAAGTGAAGATTCGACCAACAACCTCAGGAAATGCCAAGACTGACGTAGGCAGTGCGTCGTTGAACTCTGTCAAAGGATTGCTTTATCTTCTGCCAAATGTCAAGCACTGACAAGAAACAGAAACGTTAGAGACCTGTTCAAAGCTATATATATATATACGGACATTTCACGTTGTGCATTACTTTTGAATACGTTGCAGGTGTTCGATTGTGAAGCAACTGATGCTCAAGATTAAATTTGAGAGGATTATCATTTGCCAGAGAAATCTTGGCATTTTAATGTAATTTTTACTCATACAATAGAAGCAATAAAAACCTTAAGGAATCCGTTAACATCAATTCCATAAAGACAGCAGAAGAACATATATAATTCGATTTTAAAATGGTTTCGAAACTGTAATTTGCCCAGCAGCAAACTTAAGTCAGCCGTAGTTTCAGGGAACGTTTAAAAGGTGTTGTTTCCAATGAACCAACTATCGGGTTCTTCAGGCTTAAATATGACCACTGGCACGATGGCGATAGTGATAAGGAGGTAACATGCGATTATCACAGATATTTTAAGATCTGAGGTCAGCTATTAAAATAGTTTCCACAGCTGACAGCGGCATTTCAATTGTCCAATATTTTACTTTAGACTTGAAGAAAGTAAACATAAATTTAGTAAGGATGTTGTACATTTACTGCACCATCGTTGAAGCAAACTACTTTAAAGTAATAGCTTTATGGAACATAAAGTAGAGAGGAAACTAGTTTTAAATTTACTACAAATGTCTGTCAGTGGAGATGTTGATCTATGCAATCAACAAAACAAAAACGAAAACTCGTAACCGCCGGAATCTTCATCTACCTTGCGCTTCCATGAGTGGTTCACGTCATGAAGTTAATGGCGGGGCTATGCACTCCACTTAAACACCATCCGCCAGGAGTGGCCTATTTTCAAGGCAGAGTCGACAACAAATATGTGGCATGCACGTTGTGCAATTTCCTATCTCCTTCACACAGAGTTATCCTCATTTATCAACCTTGGAAAGAAGAAAGGTGAGTAAGCCAACCAAGGCTCGAATACGGGATGTCTTAGCTGTGAGTAAGACGTTCGCCGAATGAGTAAAACACCCGTCAATATAAGCACCCCTTAATGTCATTACTGACTTCGTGACATTAAGGAAAGGAGGAAATTGGTTTCGAAGTTGGTACATATATCTGGCAAAATTTGCATCGAGGGAGCGGCTAGTTTGGACACATCAGCCAAGACAGTCATCATTTACCTCCACATACTCTGCAAATCTGTTCTTAGCTTTAAAAGGCTACAGCA